GCCAAGGACTCCCTCCGGCACGCGAAAGCTCTCAGTGTGGACAGATCCTCTGACATACAGCCGGGGCTGCGCCCCCACTGCGGTTCAGACGCTTTTGTGTGGTAACATCTTCTGCTCAAAGAAACCCCAACATGGCAACTTCCGACCCATAAACTGGTACACACCGACATTCAGGTACACCCAGAAACTCTTCCAGGTGGAAGGGGGCGGGACTCGCCGCCAGGGGGAGCAGTAGGCGCCACAGGAGACCTGGGCGCTAGCCGCTCCCTGCCCCACCCCTCACCCCGCCCAGGCCACGCCCCCCACCGGGCCCTTCTCTGTGAATCCCACTCTCCCAGAGAGCCCGTCCAGCCTCCCTTGCCCCCAAACGCCCCGCCCCTCTTACCTCTGCTGCCAGTCCAGCTCTCACCCTCCCACGCCGCTCCAGGTGCCCCACCCTCTGTGGCCACGCCCCCATCCCCCTCACGTTTCCAGCTGCCCACCCCTAGGCACAGCCCTCCACCTGCCCCCGCCGTCTCAGAGGCCCCTGTCCTCGCTGCTCCGCCCTGTGCCCCGCCCTTCCTCTTGAGCTCCGTGATACGTGGCTCTTACGCCCTCTACCGGTCGGATTCCCCCCCTCCCCCCCATGGAGTACAGGACAGGTAAAGGTAAAGCGGTACCCATCACCAAAAATGGGAGTTTGGAAGACTTCATTTCCTTTACTTCTTTTCAGTCCTTTCCTAATCCCTTCAGCCGTTTCAAACCTAGTCCCTTCGCAAAGTCCCTTCTGCTTCACACGCAAAACGAATTTCAACGGAAACGCCCTTGACTTGCCACTGCCAAACCAACACGACTACCTGTGGCCCTCCGCCCTCCTAACAGAGGGTGTGGGTCGCCTCTCCTGCTTCAAGCTGATCCAACCCTTGAGCTCCCCTTCCACCTCCGCCCTTGTCCGGCAAGTCTCTCATTGTACTGGGTACTGGGGTCTTCCCCACCCCCGCCTGCTTCTGCTATGTGCCATTCATCCTCAGGGCCCAGCTTACAATGCAAGGAAGCTCCTCAACATTTGAATGAACAAATGAGAGTTTATTTGTTCATAAACAATAACATGGGTTATTGTTGGATGTATGGGTAATATTATTTCATTCTTTTTATTTAATCCTCGAACCACCCTGGAGGGAGAAAATATTTCCTCTCTATTGGTCATGAAGGAGATGTAATTTTGACCACTGTCAAAGTCAGGAAATGGCAGTGCCTGGTATGACTCAAATTCAGATTTGAGGAGCTTTAAATGCCATGCTCCTCCAGTCTTCACCGGTCCCAGATCCCTGATAAAGAGGAGGGTTCTCTCTCCTTGAGCCCCCAGCAGTCTCTTCCTCCTTCTTGGGCCTGGGCTCACCTGCCCCAGGAACAGAGGATAGTCTGGTCTGACTCATGCTCTCCTCAGCAAAAAAGGGCTGGGTCTGACTAGGCTGGCAGGCCCTGGAAGCAGGAGGCCCTGGCCCAGATGAGAGGTGCAAGGATGGGCATAGAGCAGGATGGCAGTCAGGGATTGACTCGGTTGAGGGAAATCTCTGTAGGGAGGATGCTCTTCCTCTTTGAGTTGAGACTAGCCTCCTATAAGTTCCTCACCTCAGCCTTGTCTCAGCTCTGCCTCAAAAGGACCTCTGTCCTTCACTGGGGAATTGATGGCAAGGAAGAGAATCCTGCCTGGCCTAGTGCCTCTCTACCCTTGCCTTGCTGTGTGACTTTGGATATATGCTTACACTTTTCTGGGCCTCAGCTGCCTCATCTGAAAAGTGAGGAGTGGGTCTAGAGTTCCCCAAGAGTGCCTCTCTGACTCTATTTGAAGTCAAATTCTTGTTTCCTCTGAAATACTTTTCTACTCTTTGGGGAAAGTTTTGTTATGGTGGGGGAGACCCTCATCCTGACAGGCACTGCTCTCCTCCAAAAACAATGGTCCCTACCATCTGAAATTTGTACTTTGCCAAACTTTTTCACATCCTGTCATATTCTGTCTTCACATCACTTCTGGAATAGAAGTTTATATTCCCATATCACAGATGGGCAAACTGATGGAGAGATGCAGAGACTCAGGTCACCTCAGCATCCTGAAGCTTGGCCTTGAGGTAGGCTGACTGAGGCCTTTGGATCAGGAATCCCCTTGGTGAGGGGTGAGGAGGGTGTTTAAGGATCTAGGCTGGGCCACCACCCAGTGGCACACTCACCCAGGCAGAGAGTGGCTTGGCTGCTTCCAGCACCTCACGAATCCTCCTAGCCTCAGTACCTTCTGACTCATGATGAGACAAAGTCATCTTCCAGGTACAGAGGGTGCCTGGGTGTTTTTAGCCCTTCAAAGACTCATCTAGGAGGTTGCTGGGAACACTGGGCACCAGGGTGGAGAGGGGAACATTTCTGGGAGTCTAGAGCTGGGCCCAATGCAGGCACCCTCACAAATGTGCCAGATGACCCTCAGCAGGTCACTCCCTTCCTCTGGGCCTCAAGCCCCTCACCTATGAAAGGGGAATGAAAACATTAACCCATCTACCCATAAGTCATGGTGCCCAGCAAGATTGGGGCTATAAAACCCTTGAAGAAATCAAGATAGGAAGGTTGTGATGGTCACAGTCATGGCCAGTGATGGCCCTTGGGTACTTAAGAGGGAGAAAGATAAGGAGTGAGAGGACCTCGAGAAGAAATGCCCTCCAGGGGCCACCTGGGTGGCTCAGTTGGTTAAGCGTCTGCCTTAGGCTCAGGCCATGATCTCACTGTTCATGGGTTCGAGCCCCATATTGGGCTCTCTGCTGTCACTGTGGAGGCTGCTTTTGATCCTCTGTCTCCCTCTCTCTCCTTTCCCCTTCCCCCACTCCCCTGCTCGTCTCTCTCTCTGTGTCTTTCAAAAATAAACATAAAAAAAGAGAGAGAGAGTGAGAGAGAGAAAAAGAAGAAGCAATAACCTCCAGGAAGGAACTGTCTTAGGGGGAATCTGACTCCTGACTCCATTCCCAAGTCAATTAGAAATGACCTGAGATTGTCCCCTTTCCTGTATAATTAGACCTCAAGTGGACAGTATTGGATTATTTATAACCTTTAGTTCATGACACATTCTCACCACTTCTTTAATTGGCTCCCACCACAAAACAACTAGGACCTTGATAATGTCCTACATCTCATCGTATAGGTTCCCTACCACCCATTCTCCTGCTGTCGTACCATGCCGAATAATAACCATTACCTTCTGTGTTCAGCATTCCTTTGCTTTCCTTTTTGTGTAGTTTTGTTGCATCTGTGTATTCCTTCAAAGTATATATTTTCATTTTAGTTGTTACAAAAGGGCATCTTGCTCTGTGTAATTTTTTGAGGTTACTTTGTACTTAATATTATACTGCTTAGGTTTATCCATATCGTCACACATCCATGTAGTGCATTCTGGCTGCGTGTAATATTCCATTGTGTGAATATAGCATAGTGTATTATTCATCCACTCTCTCATGGACGGATACTTTAGTGTTTGCAGGTGTTTGCTCTTGCAAATAGTGCTGCTCTGAGCATTGTGCACGACTCCAGGAGCACATGCGCAGGAGAGCTCAGGGTAACGGGCCATGTGACTACTCAACATCCAGGAGGCATTGTCAAGCTAGGATCGAATATCTCTCTGTGTGTTTTTATTTTATTATCTGTGTTTCCTTTTACGTGAAATGCCAGTTTGTGCCTCTTCTATTGGGTTATTATACTTTTTTGTACTTTATGAAAATTCTGCTCTAACTTTTCCATGCTCAATAGGGTGGCTTAGGGAGGGCTGGTAGTATTATCATTGTTTTATATGTAAGGAAACAGAAACTTAGAGAAGTGAATGGGCTTGTTTAGAGTCAGAGTCAATAACAGCCCTTTTGCACTGAGCTGATACCTTCTGAGACCATTGGGCTTCAGCTAAGAAACCTCTGCCCCTTACGCTGAGTCACAAAACCCCTGGTCCCCATCATCTCTCAGCTCCTGACCATTACATGAGCTTATAGTCTCCCCAGTGAGGCCTTAGCCCTTGTTATGTTCTTCTGAGCTCTCCTCCCAGCTGTAATGATCCAGGGTATATATTTATTTCATTATTGTCTTTCTGTTTCATCAGACGAGAAGCTCGCTCAGGGCAGGGACCCATTGCTCAGCATGATGCCTGGCTCATAGTAGGTGCTCAATAAATGTTGTTTACTGGATGAACTGCCAGTTTCCTTGTCTGCACCCCTACTCTCACCCCCAGGTTCTTTCTGAGGATAGGGTCTGGGTCAGAGCTGCCTCTGTGTTCCCATCGCCATCTTGGAGGAGTATAGAGAATGTGTGTGGAAGAATGAATGAAGGAGGGAGGAGCAAGCTGCATCTATTCCTAGGACAGATCCAGTGCCCCCGGGCTTTTCCACATTAGAAAGGACAAGCCCTGGTTCCTGATTCTCTGGCTCTTCCATCTTTGGCCCTGCCCCTGTACTCAACCTACAACAGCCAACTCATATGCCTCCTGTCATGGAAGTGCCCTCCCTGGACCAGGCCTCCCTGGGAGCCTTCTTCTCTCTTTTCTTCTCCACCCATCACCTCCACTTCCTCCCTGCCTGCTACTCCCTCATTCAAACACCTCCACTGCCACCATCATTCAGAAACCCCTAGGCTTTGACCTTTCACCTCTCTGGCTCCTCCTCCTGCCCAGCCCCCTAATGAAGTTCCCAGGGTTCTCTCCAGGCCCTCCCTTTCTACTCTGTCCCTCAGGAAACCCATCTACCCCCTTGGCCTCAGGCCTCAAGCCAAAAGCACCATGACCACTCCCCAAGTTTTGCAATTCTCTAAGAAGCCTTCCTGGGTATCTCCAGACCCTGCTGAGTCCTAGCTCCCACCCAGGTTGAGGCCTTGTTATCAAGCTGGACCCTGCCCCCACCCCAGTCCAGGACACTGCCTGGCCTCCCTCTAGGTCCACCATCTCAGGATAGGAGCGAAGTAGAGGGACTTGTTTTGGCTGTGGTAACAAAGGCCTGAAAAACTCGTGGCTTAAAAAAGATAGACATTTATTTCCCTCTTGTGCAAAAGTCCAAATTCAGGTGGCCCCAAACTGGAATGGTCAGAAACCCAAGCTGTTTCTCATGGTCCAAGATGGTGCCCCAGCTGTGAGGCCCCCATTGTAAGCAGCAAGAAGGGAGGGGAGGCAAAGGACAGACCCCCACCTATCTTTTAAAGACCTTCATCCCCTTCCTGTGTTAAACTGCTGTAGGCCACTTTGCTTATATCCCACTGTCCAGGATTAAGATACCTGGTCGTGCCTAGCTGCAAGTAAGGCTGGGAAATGAAGTTTTCATCCTAGGAGAACTTGTGCCCAATTAAAGGAGAGTTAATACTGCAGTTGGCACTTAGCCGTCTCTGTTACAACTTCCTAGGGGGATCCCCAGTTACTGGCACTGGCTGAGGCAGGTGGGCACTTGAAAGGCACGTCATAAAAGGAAAGGGAAGCAAGGCAGGTCGAGTAAGGCAAGGGGGGCATCTAGTATCTGTGTTAGAGAAAGACTGTGTGACCTTCACAGGTCAATTCTCACATCTGGGCCTCAGTATCCCCATTTGTAATTGGAGGTATTGTAAGGATTAAGTGAGAAAACGTGTGTACAGCACACTGCATGTGCCCGGGACCTTCAGAGCCCAACAAATGGCCACTGCTGTCATTGTTGTGGCTCCCCGGTGCTCCCCTGGGCTGGCACCAAGCCTTTTACTCTCCAGCCCTGCCAACTCTCCAGCCTAATCTCTTGCTATCTTTCCTCCAACAGCCTCTACGCCTTGGGCTGTGCTGTTCCCCGCACCAGAACAAACTTGCCCTCTCTTCTTCAGTCTAATTATGGCCATCCTTCAAGCCCCAGCTGCACTGCTACACCCCAGGAAATCTTCCTCAAGCCCAGAGCATCACCTTGGACCCCTGTGAACCCACATGCTCCCCCACCCCTCACCACACTCTACCTCCACACCTTCGTCCGTGTCTCCTCTGTCTTTACCCCAGTGAGCAGACATCCCCAGCTGAAGCCCCTATCCCCGGGTGTGCTCTGGGTTAAAGTGAGGAGAGAGATTAGGGAAGGGGGACAAAAGGAGGGAGAATGAAGGGGGGAAATTCAAGCTCCCCAAATGGCACTCGGGAGTCTCTCGTACTGGCATTAATAAATGGCTTTTCCTTCTTGTAGGAGTAGATAGATGGGGCTAATGGATTATGACCCTCGTTCTGAAGGGAAAAAAAAAAGTGTGCGGAGACCAGCTGCCTCCCCAGGTGAAGGAAGGAGAAATCCCTTGCTCAGAGCCCCTTGTTTAGAAACTTCCTAGGCAAATTCCTAGAGAGAGAGACTGGAGGAACTTGTGTGCACAAAAGGCAAAGTCATTACAATAGCAACACTCATTGCACGCTTACTGTGTTTCGGCATTACTCTGAGTGCTTTGCACGTATTAATCCTCACAACCACTTTGCAAGACAGATAGCATCATCATTCCCATTTTATAGCCTGGGAAGTTACGGTACAAAGAGGCTACATAACTTGCCCAGAGTAACATAACTAGTAAGTGGTAGAGCCAAGATACACGCTCAGGTTGAGCTGGGTCTGCAGTTTCCACCCTTTATGCTGTTCTGCCTTGCGAAGGGATGCTGGAAATGGAATTTACCTGTGGTCCACAATGTTCACTCTTGGAAAAGTAACCAAAGAAAGGGTCACCATTCTCGGCAGTCTGCTAGGACAGTCATCTGGGATGCTCTGGGCACTGTGGGCAGAGGCCCTCTGCCTTCCGCTCTCCTGCTGCCCTACTCCCCCATGACAGGCAACTGAAGAGTCTCATCTCAGACTCTCAACAAGATGCAAGGCAAGCATCATCTGTACTACTTGGCAGGACATTGCATTGTGTTGGGAATATACATCTTCTGACATTTCCTCACATCTCTTCCCTGTGACCCAAAGAATCAAAGTCCCTTCTGTCCAAATTATCATCAACCTCTTCAGCAAGGGCACTTTTGATGGGTTCCCAAGATGGTTTGGGCCCGGTTTTCCCACTTCCTCAGACAGCTGCAAGCACACTTCCAACATTACTATGGAGTTTAACTCCCGCAGAGCCCTTCTCTGAATGCCCCCATTGCCCAACAGCCTTGGAGATTAGACAGGGCTAAAAGGAAAATGCTGAGTAAGCTATGCAGTCCTTCCCCTCCCTGCCCTGTCCCTATGCCCTGCCCTCTCTCGGCTCTACCCTCTAAGAAGGTAGACTCTTTGTCAAGGCTGGTTCGGGTACAGGGTCTGAGTGGTATACTAGCAGCCAAGGGCAGGTGAAATTGTTCTACAGGTGGAAAGCTGGGACCTGGGAGGAAGGAATAAGGAATGGAGGAGAAGTGAGGGGGGGTCCGGTGGGGGTGTGTGTGGAGATATGAGGAAAAGGAGCAGAGAGGGTGAGGAGCTGTGTGGGTGGGGCCGAAAGGAAGGGTGGGTGGGGAGAGCAGGTAAAGAGGCCTTATGTGGCAGAATCCCTTGGCTGTCTTCTCAGAGACCTTCAGTGAAGATGCCTTTCCAAAGCTTTTGAAGGCTCAGGTCTGTGTTTGAGATGCCCCTGTGAGATGGCCTCCAGCAGCCTCCCAGGCACCCACAGGCCAGAATGATGAAGGTGAGAGGGCAGGAGCAGAACCCATGGAACAGTCTGTCTTGAGACTGGCCACAGGACTTCTGCACCTCCATGTGGCAGCCTCCTGGTAGCCCTGGCATGGCCCTGAGTCTCTTCAAGTTGACTTCTCCTTCTAGAATGAAGCAATATTGAAGGGCTATTTCCCTTCACTTGGGGGGGCCTGGTGGAGGGTTCCTCAGGCACCCAGGATACCCTGAGGCTGAAAGAGGCCCATGTGAAGAGATAGGTGGAGGAGAGGTGGGGTCTGGGGCTCTTCCTGGCATTCAATGCTCTGGTCCCACCCAGTCCATCCCCTCTTGGACTTAACTGAAACTCACTATTGATTTGCAGCCAGATTCAACAGGTCTCTGCCTCTGGGTTTTATGCACCCAGTGCCTTCCATCAGGAGCAGCCTCCTTCTCTCTGTCTTTTGGATTCCTCCCTGGCTTAAGCTCCACTCTTTGAAGAAGTGCTCCCTGATTCTTCCCTCTGCTCAGCCCCCACAGCCTGAAGGGTGGCCATGGGACAGCTTTTGTTTTCTCAACTTTCACACCACACAGCAGACCATATGCCTGCCCCCCACTCCAGCTCTCTACCCATCTCCTCCAGCGCAGAGTCTAGATTAGGGCCATCCCAGGCTGGGTGAACACGCTCCCCACTTCCATTTGCTGACCTGCCACTCAACCCTCAACATCTGGTTCAGATGCCCCCCAGCCCCACCCTGAGAAATCTTTCCTGACTCCTTGGACTGGATCATGGGTATCCTCTGTTCACCCCTCCCCGCCAGCCATGCTTCCCTCTGTCACAGCCTTGACATCACTTTGTCAAATGTCAGTATATCCATCCAGTAGTTGGGAGCCTATATGGGGCAGAGCTGGGACTTGTTCTCCTGGGGCGCTGGAATCAACCCAGGCCCAAGCACAAGGTGTAGGTAAAGTTTTGCTGAACGAATGGAACATCACATACCTCCAGAGAGCTCATATTCATCCCTCAAAATCCAGCTCAAATGCTCCTTTCCAGAAGCCCTCACTTCCTCCTCCCATCTTCCCTCACTCCCTTTATTGGTGACTCCAAAACATTCGGCATGCTCCTCAATTACAGTGCATGTCACACGCCATTTTTGTGAGCAGCTTAACATGGCTTCCCTGTCTCTCCAGGGCTGACTGGGATCTTCTGGAGAGCCAGGTCCGAGCTTGTCTCTCTGTGCCCACATGGCCCAGTCCCGAGAAAGAGCTCAATCAATAGTCATTGGTTGAGATTTTGGAGTCTGTGGGGCGACCTCTCTCCATGCCCAGCTGAGCTAAGCTCTAATTCTCTGCACGGTTTGGGGTTGCTGGGGCTTCCGGCGCCACGGCCCCGGGTGTCCTTGTCCCCAGGGGGCTCAGGGACCCCGTCGCTGCCACTTGGCCGTGAGTTTCTGCAGCAGCTCATGTGGCCTCCGGCGGAACTTCTCCTGAGTGAAGTAGAAGAGAATGGGATCCAGCACGCTGTTGGCACTGGCAAAGGGCCGTGTGACTTTGTAGGCGGCTGCAAAGGCCTCCAGCACAGGGCAGGGGACCCCAGATGTAGAGCGCACCGCCAGGTAGGCCGTCTTGGTGACGTGGAAGGGCAGGAAGCTGACGGCAAAGGCGGCCGCCACCACCACCGCCATGCGGGCTGCCTTGCCACGCCGCTCCCGGGCCACTGGCCCTGCTGGGCCGTCCTGGCGGCACAGATGGTAAGCCAGGCGGCAGTAGCAGGCCAGCAGGGCGGCAAAGGGCAGCAGAAAGCCGATGACCGTGAGGGCCATGCCGTAGGGCATGTAGTGGGAGGCCAGGGCAGGCGGGCTCAGGTCGTAGCAGACGGTGCGGTTACGCTGGACGCCTGTGGCAGCAAAGAGGGCCGTGGGCAGACACTGGGTCGCCACAGCCAGCCACACGGCCCCACACACTACCCAGGCGGCGCGGCGGCCCCCACGCTTGTGCCAGGGGGCCAGTGGGTGGCAGATGCCCAGGTAGCGCTGGAAACTGATGCAGGTGAGGAAGAGGATGCTGCCGTGTAGGTTGGCGTAAAACAGGAAGCGGACCAGGCGGCAGGCAAGGTCGCCAAAGGGCCAGTGGTCACCTTGGGCATAGTTGTAGATGAGCAAGGGCAGGGAGCAGGCGTAGAGCAGGTCGGCCAGGGCCAGGTTCAGGGTGTACACGGCCGTGCGGGTCAGGGCCCGGCGGGATGTGCCGATCTGGGCGATGACACAGGCGTTCAGTGGCAGGCCGGCCGCCAGCACCACTGAGTACACAGGTGGCAGTAGCAGTCTCTTGAAGTTCTCTTGGTAGACACAGGTGGTGGGCGGTGAGCCCGGGGCCTGTCCTGTCCCGTTGTCCCACTCCATGGCTGCCCGATTATGCTTCCCGCATGCACAGAGGCTAGGGAAGCAACATAAAACCTGTCAGTAACCACATTCACTGACCGTCCGGTAGGCCCCCTGTCCCTCTCTGGGCCCTGATCTCCACCTGAACCATCTATGATACTCACTACCCCACGGAGACCGCACGCTGCCTTCACTTTAATGAAACCTGGGATACAATAAAGCTCAAAGCTTGGGAAAAATCCAACTCGCTTTCTATAATATTCATTTCCCAGCAACCTTCCTGGTGAACTTCTATTTGGCCTTCAAAACCCTAGTCAAATGTCTCCTCTTTAAGGGGAGACTGACAGACTTTTGGTTTTTGTCTGTTTGTTCCAAATCTTTTTTTTTTTAAGTTTTATTTATTTAGGTAATCTCTACACCCAACAGGGGCTCGGACTCATGATCCCGAGATCAAGAATCACATGCTCTTCTGACTGAGCCAACCAGGCACCCCAGGCAGACTTTAGTTTGAATCCCACCTGTGCTACTTATTAGCTATGTGACCTTGGGCTATATATCAGAAAAGATATATCTTTTCTGAGTCTCAATTTTCCCATCTGAAAATTGCAGGAATGACAGGCCACCTCTCAGAATGTCATGAAGTTTGAGGTACTAAATCACGCTAGGTAGGGCTTCCCCTGGGCTGTTTGGAGTTTGGAGATTATGGTTATGGTGAACATGTGTGCCTTTCTCTCCTACACAGACCAGGAACCTCCTGAAGAAGTGCCAGGTCTGATGCCTGTATCTGGGAGCCCAACCTGCGGTCCAGGGCAGTGAAGGCCCTGGTAACTCTTAATTAATCAACGTGAACAGTATCCACACACTGTGAACTGATGAAGGACAGTGCCCACCTCCTCAGACTGGACTCCACCTTCCAAAGCCATGGTTCTTCTTTTGGCTGCAATCTTCTTATCTGTAAAATGGGGGAAGGAGGTGATTCAGGAGTTCCTCTAAGCCTCCTTCTACTTGACTTGAGGCTACAAATGTCTGTCTAGCACACACTGGACCACAGCACCCTCTGGTGGCTAATATGAAAACAGCTTCCCCAAAGGCAAACTGGCAAATGACTGAGGACCAACCAAATCTACTGTTTGTTTTTTTTTTTAACTGATTTTATTTTTAAGTAATCTCTTCACCCAAAGTGGGGCTCAAACCCACAACCCCATGACCAAGAGTCATGCGCTCCACTGAGTGAGCCAGCCAGGCGCCCCTACTGCTTGCTTTTTATAGAGAGGAAAATCCAGGCACAGCAAGAGGCAGTGATGGCTCAATCTTCCTCATTGAGTTAGAAGCAGAGCCAACCACCTGACTGAGAGGAGACAACTAAACATAGCCCATGGTCATGGAATGTAGAGGTTATAAACCCAACTTCAGAGGTAGGCAAGCCCGACATGGGGCTCATTCAAATCCTGGCTCCCCTACTTCTACGCTGTTCAACCCAAAGCATATCACTGGCCTTTTCTGGGTCTATGTTCTTATCAGTAAAACATGTCATAGGCCTGATATACAGTAGGTGCTTAATAAATGCCATGCCATGCTGTTGTATCCTACACGTAATGCCTCCATCCATCCCTTCAGGCGAGATTTTGGGGAAGCACAAGTGTCTTACGGGGTTCCCTGGTGAGGTAAGTCTGGCTTCTTGATACTTACCTCCCAACTGGCATGTCCACATTTAACTGGTGCCCAGAGAGAACTCGCAACTTAAAGCTAATGGACCTGAAAGACAAAGCCTTTGAGACAGTGAGTCAGATCATCCCCCTTGCTATTTATAGGTGGGAAAACTGAAGCTAAGGAAAAGATATGAAGTCCTGTAAATGTACACAGAGGGTGACAGAGGTTTGAGGCCAGAAGGTTCAAATCCCAGCTCTGCTACATGTGAGCCGTGGGGCTTTAGGCTCATTACTGAACTCCTGGGCCTTGGTTTCCCCATCTGTAAAATGGAGTAATAGAGTACCTGCCTCATAGGGTTGTTATGAAGATCAGTGCCTGGCACAGGGCAAGTGTTAGCTATTCTTGATGTGAATATACCTGCTAAGTCAAGTTATGAGATTTTTATTTTTTTAAATTCTTCTTTTTTTTTTTTTTTTTTTAATTTTGAGAGAGACAGAGCAGGGGAGGGGCAGAGAGAGGGAGAAAGAGAGAGAATCTCAAGCAGGCTCTGAATTGTCAGCACAGAGCCCGACATGGGGCTCAATCCTACGAACTGCAAGATCATGACCTGAGCCAAAATCAAGAGTCGTACGCTTAACTGACTGAGCCATCCAGGCCCCCAAGTTATAAGATTTTTAAAAGTTAAGCTAGAGCAAAACGTAACTACCCAAACTAATTTCTACCAACTTAAAATTTGATTCTGATGAAAATATTTTCCCCAGAGTCTGGGCAAATGCAAAATGAGGTTTGGATTCTCTAGTCTGTATCCCACATGCCATATTATCTTTAATTATGAAAAATTCTTTGTGGGGCTTCAGCCCATGTGCTAGGAGTGCTGGGTGCCCAGTTAGCCAGTTAGGCACGGGGGAAGCCACAGGAAGAAGCACAGGAGGACCCCCATTATAGCCAGGAAGCCAAGATTAGTACAGGCAAGAGAAAGCTCATTTACCCATCTCTTCATTCATTTGTTCAGGCTATTCTTTCCTTTATGCATTCATTCTCCTGTTTTCACCTGCCAGGCATTTAATGCATACTTACTGCCTGCTGGATGCATGGGGGCACAGTACATAGATGTCGATGCACATAGATAGATAGAGATATAGAAAGTATTTATACACATACACATACACGTACACGTACATATACATATGCTAGTCTGCATGGGGAGACCAGTGTAAGCCACAGGATAGAAGAGACTTTTCAGAAGAGAACGAAGGATGGAGCATGACCCAGGTGGTTGAGGAGGAATTCCCTGGGTGGAGAGGGGTGTGAGGATCTCTGGGTGTCCCCAGGTGGGGAGGAAAGTAGAGCAGGCAGAGCTTGAGAGGAGAGCAGCCTTCTAGGGCAGGGCCATGGTGAGGAGGAAGAAACGGGTAGAAGGAACAGTGCTGTGCCTCTGAACTCTCTTTTGGGAGGCCTATTGTCCTCAGACACCACCCCGAGGGAAAGCCCTCGCCTCAGGTGACCGGAGGCTCCAGATATTTCCTGCTCTCCACTCCCTGGTAAGACTGGTCCTCTTGGAAGGAGGCAGAGGCAGCACAAGGAGATCCAGAGTGAAGCTTCAGGTCTGCTCCAAGAAAGGCAGGCATGCCTGTCACCCTGGCTCCCTCATACACTCTACCCTCTGATGACTACGAGAGGCAGGGGCTGGTTCCAGCCGAGGGCTCCCTTGGCCCCTGCCTCCCAGCAGCTGACACTGTCTCCCTCTAGCTCTCACAGATGTCATTTCTTGGGCCCTGAGCCCTGGGCCAGCTCAGGCCCCAGTGTCTTCCTGGGCTCCGGCCACACTGTCTCTGGTGGGGGGCTTTCTAGCAAGTGGGTCAGATTACATCCTTCCCTGTATTCCTCTGCAGCCTGCCTGCCCAAAGTCACAGTTCCTTGTGTCCAGCCCCCATGCCCCCCTCACATTGGCCCACAGCACCAACACTCACATGCAGCCTCCTGTCCCCGAAGCACCTTGGTGGCCTCAAATGCCTTGGAGCCAGGGGGGGGCCAGACATGAGGCTCTCCACTCTCCTGCCCTCAACTCAGGCTGCAACACCTCCAAAGGAGCAGGCGGCTTCCTCTGTTTCCTGGCAGGGCTGTCTCTGACTGAAATAGCCCCTGCGGGGGCCACCCCCTCCCTGCCACCTCCAACACCAAGGTCTGGCGGAAACTGGGCCTCGAGGAGCAAGGAGGCGGAGAAAATGTCTCCTTCCTGGAACCCTTCCCACCCAGCAGAAGGAAGAGGGTGATGAGGGGATAGAAAGGTGGGGGAGAACCAGAGGCTGCTGGTCAAAGGCCAGCCCCACAGCCCCAGCAGCTTCCTTTCTCCTCAGCCCTCTCTCAGTCTTCTCATCTGTCAAATGGGCATGTGGGTAATTAAAGAGTTTTTGGCTCCCCCTTTAGCTGTAACACCCAGAGTCACCCTGTAGTCACTCACCCCCCCATCCATCCCTCCTTTCTCCATTCAATGGCTCATCCACTGACCTATCCATCCCTCTACATGCTAATCTACTTATGCACTCACTTATTTGGTCACCTTCTCCCTCTCTCCTTCCCTCTCTTCCTTTTCTCCCAAACCATTATTGAACACCTACTGTATGCCCTCAGATCCTCCCACATACCTCCACTTCTCAGGCACTGTCTCCTGCATGGCAGGTCCAGAGCTCACCGGGAGTGACAGGTGTGGGTTGTGGGGATAGAGGTGATGCCCCTGAGAACTCATCTGAGTGAGATTCTCCCTGCCGGTGCCAAGCCCTCTTCCAGCCCCTCCTTACTCCCAAACCAAGACTCAGAGCTGTTAGGATGGACCAGAGGAGGTGAGGTGGCTTCTCATTGTTCCGAGGAGGACAGCTCCGGTAGCAGAGGCAGCACTTGCAGGGATGACTTGGAGGAGGTGGGCTTTGGTTGGGAGAAGCTGGGGCCACGAGAGGGGGACAAGTTCACGCAGGGAGAGAACACTGCCCTGGGTGCTTGAGGCCCAGGTTCTTGTTTACTTTGGCCCCTACCCACAAGCCCCTTCCCCTCTCTGAGCCTCCTTGGCAGAATGTGGTCATAGTGGCCACCAGCATGTTGTGAGGATGAACTGCCAGGGACAGGGAGGACCCTTTTTACCCTGGCAGGTGTGAGCACTGCCCTCACACCCAAACCCATTTTGTAGACAGGGGGATTGAGGAACTGAGTTGGTCCCAAAACTTTGGGTCAAGCTGAGGAAATTCAGGTTCGAACTGCTGAGGAACACTTTGGTCAGTTGTGCAAGGATTGAGCACCTACTGCCTATTCAGGGCTGTGCTAAGAGGTTGCCAGCTGAAAGTGTGGACCTCCTGATCTGATTTTAGTGGTGCTAGAGCTCAGGAGGGCAAGGAGGCCTGGCCTTTAGCCCAGAAACCAGTCCTTTGCTGCATTCCTAGGACAATCTCCAGTGGTCACTCCCGCCACAGTGTCTGTCCCAAGAATGGGAGCAGCCCTGAGGGCTTCCTGGGGGTGTCAGACCCAGTGCAAGGCTTGGGTCAGAGTTCCTGCTACCGGGTTGGGGCCCAGGAGAGCAGGTCTTGGGGGCCATGGGAAGGAGTGACCTGGAATGGCTCCTGGAGAAGGCATGTCTGTTGCTGGGACTTAAAGGGCCAGGAGGACTTGGCCACATGAAGCGTGAAGAGAGCACCCTAGGCAGGAGGCACGCAGGCAGGGAATGAGCCTATCCTGTGGGAGAAATGAAGCGTAGTGTAGCAGGGGATGAGCTGTGTGAAGAGGGGCCCAGTTGGAGGCCTGAGGGGGCTGGCCCCTTTAAAACCTCCAAGACAGAGCCCAAGTGCCCCTGCTCTGCTCCCAAGCCTGCCAGGGCTCCTAAGTCCAGCCTCAGCCCTTCCCCACCAGGCTTTCCAGCCCTGAGGCGTACATCTGTGCTATTTCCTCTGCCCGGGATGCTTTCCAAATAAGCCGTACTTATCCTTCCTGTAGTTTTCATGTCTGTAAAATGAGATTGATTACTGGTGCCTGCCACATAGGCTGTTGTAAGAAATAAACGAAACCATGCAGGTGAGGTGCCCTGGCACACAGTATGGACTCAATCAACATTTGTTAACTGAATGAATCAATTCCAGGCCCAGCCTAAATGCCCCCACTTTGGGCTCCCTCAGCCCGTGGCAGCGTGCACCAATTCCTGGGTCCTCACCACCCGGTGTCATCTCCTAATAGTCTGCCCGCTGCCGGATGTTTTAGCTGCAGCCCTGGGTGGGTGGCAGGCGGTGGCAGTGGTTGTTCTCTCCCTTATACAGATGAAAGAAGTAAGACTCAGGAGAAGTCAACGAGTTTCCCAAGGTGTCCCAGCCAGGTGACATTTCAACACTGTCTTTCTGACTCTACAAACCCCTTATCCATGGTTCCCCTGAAATCCATGCTTAGACGTCCAAGCCAGGAAATTCCCAGAGGATCGTCTCCCCTGCACTGAAGGCTTCTGGCCATGAGATGGTGCCAGCAGACTGCCTGGGCTGGCCAGTCTCAAGCCTTCTGACCGCCGCCCTGGGGTGGGGGCTGTGTGGCAGGTCGGCACACAGCCAGGGCCTCCCTTCTGGGGCTGGCACTGAGCAACCTCAGGACTGGGTTCCCAGCCTCAGTTTCTCCTGACCCACTCCCCAGCCTTTCTCCTATTTGTTAGTCCCATATCCACTCATATCCTGTTCTCAGAGCCTCACCTGATCAATCTGGCTCACGGGAGCTAGTGGTGACATTGGCAGGGGGACGGGGCCAGTGTTCAGCCCTGTTCGTCTGAGGTAGAGGCCCTGGGAGTATTGCCCTGACACCAGGCATCCACCCACCCAGCTCCGTGCCAGGTACACCCTTGGCAGAAACATTGAAGTCCCTCACTCCATAGAGGGGACACACTCTGCCAGTTTCCTTTTGTCAGTTCAGGCAACACATGGGATCGGTTTGTGCCTGCAGCAGAAGCGATTCAGGATAGATGGAAGGAAGAACTGGCAAGGGTTGATGCTCCTTGGGTTGTTTGGATCCTATGGTCTCAGGATACCCTTTTAGCTGACTCTGCAGTTCCCTCCCCATCCCTGCTCCAAGGACCTCAAATCTGGAAGGATGAGGAGGCCAGAGGCAGGAGCTGGAAGACTGAGTCACCACTTGCCAGCCAGCCAGGAACCAGCCCAGACCAGGCTGGATGTGGGAAGAGGCCTCCCAACCTTGGCCTGCCTGCCTGCTGGGAAACAAGGCCTGGAAACCCCCTTGCTTGGTCTCCGGCTTGTGAGTTTAGCAGCAAGGGCACAGGATGAGAAGGGTCAAGACCCAGCTTCCTTCCCCTGACGAGTCAGACAGACTGGGATCCATCACCAACTCACTGTGTGACCTGGGGCGAGCCACCTACTCTCTCTGAGCCTGAGTCCAGGGCTAGTCCTGGTGCCTGCCTTACAGGGTCATTACATGCTCTGCCACAGTCACCAATCCAGCCCTGACCCAGCAGCATCCAGCCCGGGGCAGGAGAGCCCCCTGGAGCCTGCCTCAAGCCAGCCCGAGGCCAGGTTCCTGATGGCAGAGCCTCCTGGCATCCAGAGGATGGGGGGCAGGGGCAGTGCCCCCCACTCCAGGTGGAGTTTTGGTCCCACCCGTGATACCAGGCTGGCTGCAAAAGCAGGCAAATCTGGTAGGAAAAGGACACAGGGAGGGCAGGAAACTTGATCTCTTCTCTTTTCTACTTCCCCTTTTCACCTCCTACTCAACAAGAATTAAAGTTGGAACTGAAACAGCCATTTTGAGTGCAAGGAAGGGGAAGCTTCGGGGAATTTGGGAGATGAGGCTGCTTCCTTTAGTCTCTCTCTGGCCTCTACCGGCTGAGCAAAGAGGGAACTTGCATCTCCTGCACCACTACTCTGAGCCAGACCCATCAGTGAGCTCATGTAATCCCCACCACATTCCAGACAGATGTTTTCACTGGGCACTGACTCCGCACCATCACTGTGCAAAATGCCACAGCCCACTTACCCTTCACATTTCCACCTCCACTTTACAGATGAGGAAGCTGAGGCTTGGCAAACTTAGCAAGAGGTTGTCTCTCGGGAATGTGAATGAAGAGGTCAAAAACCATGGTGACCTAGGCAGGCACAGGGCTGAGAAGGCACAGGGCAGCCTCGGGGCTGGGGAACTGGACGGGGCAGCCCCTGACAGAAGGAGAGTCCATGGTGCCAGCTTTCTAAGTCCGTGCCCACGGGCCGCAGCACCTCCCACTGGGGGCTCTGGAAGATCCCAGCACCTTCCAATGTGCCCTCTTCCCTGAAGCTAGTGTGAGAGGGTCTCTGTTCTTTGCCTGGACCCCCAGGCTGTCCCCCCACACACCTTTTTTTTTTTTATCTCCCTGTAGAGGTGTGCCGCTTGGATTCCCTTTCAAGCAAGAACATGCTGTTTACCCGCAAGGAGTGCAGCTGGCTGACAGCCTCTATTGGTGACTTTAGGACCCACTCGTCCTCCCAGATAACCAGGCTCCAGTCTTTTGGGGAAGAGATGGCCCGGATCCAGCTATCTGGCCCATCTTGCAGGCAGTCATTATTCTCCTCTGCAATTTCTTTCATCCAATTCCCACACACCCTCTCACGATGAAGGCCCCATCTCCTGTTTTTCTTTTGGGGGATCCCCTTTCCCCTCTTCAAGTCTTGACAATCTGGGGGTGCTGGACCTGTGACCTAGATCTGCCAATGAGAGAAGAGTGGGCTTCTCAGGCCCTATAACTGGCTCAGGGGTGGGTGAGTGACCTCCCCTGGATGCCTCAGAGTCAATTTTGGAGATTTTGCTGGAACATTGGGAAGGAGGCAGATTTTCCACTGGGTCTGCAAAGCTGGTAGGAAGTGAGCCTGGAGCTTCTAGGGCCAGGTGAACTGTATGCCAGGAACTGTCCTATGCACGGATGATACTACCAGCAGGAAGGAGACCGTGCAAAATAAAGCCAAGGATGGCAGAGCTGAGAACTGGGAACACACGGTTCCTGAGAACAACACTGAGCACCTGGTTCCCGCTATGCCTGAAGCTTTACCTTCCACTGGACTTTTTGACAGCTTGAGCTGATAAATTCCCTTTATGCCTCAGTCCATTTGACCTAGGATTCTGTCACTTAAAATCAGGAGTCCTCCCTATAGACCTGCACTTCCCCCTCCACATGTCTCCTCTCCTCTTTCCACATCCCGTGTTCACAGGGTCAGCCCCAGAACCCTAACATCCTTTCAGGGGAGGCTGGAACTGGCCATGTACCTGAAGGCTACCAGCAGAGGGGCATGTAGGGACTGGGGGGCTGTCAGGTCAAGCCTGATCCCCACGGAGGCTGCCAGGGAAGCCCCCCAATTCATTTCCCATGAGGGAAGCCCCTCCTCCAGCAGCTCCTGGAGTAACCACTGTGTCATTTCAGTAGCTCCTGGGCAGGAGTGTGGAAAGCTAGAAATCCAGCTTCTAGTCCTAGATTCATCACCCACTTGCTGTGTGACCCTGAGGAGGTCACTACACCTCCCCAAGCCTCACCTTGCTGAGCTACTTCACTGTAGCTGTGTAGTTTCTTGGCCACCAAGCTATGTGCTTTTACTGCAAAATCTCATTTGCTTTTACAACAGCCCTGCATGGTGGGTTGCATTATCCACATTTACAGATGAAGAAATAGGCTTCGAGAAGGCTGGTGGCTTGCCCAAGGTGACATGGCGAGGAGTGGTGAGCCAGGACTAGGACACAGATCTGAATAATGATAAAGGCTGTGCTCAGGAAGAGAGGCAACGTTCCTCTGTGTAAAAACTGAGGCCAGAGAGATTAGGAACTTGCCCAAGGTGCACAGTAAATCTACCATGCCACCTTGCCTCTCAGGAACACAGTGGCCTGAGAGAGGACACAGAAACGGGGGCCAAGAGTCGGGGCAGAAAAGAAGACCAGCCTGATTGTCAATGTCAGTCAGACTCCCTCCCTTCTTTAACTTTGTTAGGAATTGGGGACAAGGTCTGCTTTGCCTTTGCCAACACAGGCTCTAGCTCCCAAGAGGCACTGGGAAATGTTGAAGCCTAGTCTGTAAAGATGAGCCACAAGGCACCGTCCTTGGTGCTGTCTGGCTCAATTTAAAAAAAAAAAAAAAATCTTTGTTTCGGTTGATGACAGGGAAGGCTGGTCAGGGGGGAATGAAGGTAATGGCTGCATGAGTAGCACCTCTGCACCTACCTGGGTCCCCCAGCCTTCAGTTGTCAGGAAGGGCAGACCACCTCCACTCCCTTAGTGTTTGTTGTACGTTATGGTTCTGCCCATTTCACAGATGGACACTGAGGCCCCAAAGGTAGGTGGCTTTGTCCACAAATCTCACAGGTAGGGTCTGGGTATGGAGGAAGTCCAGAGAACCTCTCACTTCCCTTGCCCCGGCAGCTCCCTTGCCCCGGCCCTGCTCTAACCATCCCCAGCACCTAAGTCCACCTGGCAGAGAGAGGAGACCCAAGTGGACCCCAGAACCCAGTGTGTCAATGACAGGGCTCTGAATTGTAGACTCTCAGGGCCAGAGAGGCCTTAAGGGAATCTGACCCAGAGCTCTCCCCAGCCCCTCAGAGAAGGAGGCTCTCTGAAGCCTCTTTGACAGGACTTGTCTGGCCTCCATTTGCATATTTCCCATGACAGGGAACTCACTCCATCTCTCCTAGGCCGCTACACTCCACCATGAGAAAGCTCTCTGGAAGACGTGCTTCACCACACCAAGCCCTGAGATCTGCTCCTAGTCACTACTTTCCTTCCCCAGTCTGTCCTGCCTCTGGGTTCACAGAGCTCAGCTGCCCCCAAATCCCTGGGCACTGCAGAAGTTGTCCCAAGACTATTCACGAGCTGGTCTTCATTCCCATTGGCCAAATCCAGTGCTCATGTCCAGGCCCAGGAAACCTAGTGATGGAGCTCATAAACCAGACATGAGGCCAGAGAGCCATGACCATTCCCAAATCTGAAGACAAAACCCTCTGCTTGGAGCACAGTCTCTTCTTACCATTTTGGGAAGATAAAACTGAGGTCTCCCCCACAGCCTTAGAATCTTGCCAAGTGGTCTTCAGTCCTCTAGAATGTCTTCCACCAAACCCCAAATCCTCACCCTCAAATGTCAAGCATGTAGCACTGGGGCCTGATTTGTGCCCAACCTAGTGTGGGAGGAACTGTGCTTTGTAGGTATCTGAGGGGTGACCTGGGATGAGGAAATCAAAGGCAGGGCAACTGCCTGGCTCTGAATGTAATGTGGGAGGTCAGCAGTGACACAGGCAGTTCCTGCCGCAGAGTGCATTGTTGTACGTGGCGTGTGTATGAAGAACACAGGACAGACCTCAGATCCTTCAGGTGGCCACTCAAACATACAGGTTCTAGATGAGGCCTTCCCCTACCACACTAGCTAACATTGTAACCTCCCACCTTACACACACACACACTTCCTACTGCCCTTCTCCACTGTATTTTTCTCCATGGTATTTACCATCTTCTAACCCACTATTTTATTTGTTTGCTATTGTCTGCCTCCTCCCATCAGAACATAAACTCCACCAGGGCAGGCGTTTTTATGTTTTATTCACTACTGCATCTCCAGGGCTTAGGATGGTACCTGACACATAGAAGGTACTCAGTGACAAATTGTTGGATGGATGGATTTCTAGGGGTGACTCAAGAATATCTACACAGAGAGGACTTGGGGTGGAAATCTGATTGGGGGCATATGGAACTAGGCTTGACATTATGCTTGCATTGCAAACTACAGTTTGTACTTAGAGTATGTTTACTGGAGATTAGAGGCTGATAGAGACTTCAAAGCCACCCATTGGGCCGCCTCTATCTGGCTGTGTATATGAGAATCAGGCTGCGAATAGTCCCAGCTGAGAAGGGTGAACGGGACATGGCCTGGTGGTGCTGGGCTGCCTGTCTCTTCCTCCTGCCCTGTGTGAGGTCTTCCTTGGTACTTTCCCCACCACTCCCACACTGGCCCTGTCCCATCCTGCTGTCCTCCCAGAGCCTCTCAGCCTGTAACCATCTCTCCCTTGGCACTGGGGCCTCTAATATGAAGGCCTCCAGAACCCTGGACTAGCATCTTCCTAGCCCCTCTCCTTTCCCTTGCCAGCCTGGAGCTCTAGTGCAAGACCCGGGGCTCCTGTGGACACAACCAGTCCGTTTGTATCCCTTGTTCTTGGCACCAACAGACACTTAGTCCTGCCCTGTGGGGTTGAGGACGTGACTCAGCAGAGAGCCTCGAGGGCCCTGAGACCCCCACCAACTGGGTCACCACCCCACTTGGCTGAGTCCCCAAACTTCTGCCTGTCTTGAAGCGGTCCCTCTCCCATCTCCTCCAAGCCTCTGCCCCATCTTTCTTGTCAGTCCTATCCTCCACTCCAACAGCCCTCAACTCCTCCTTCAAAGCAAAGTGTACCCTTTCAGAGGGGCCTCCTTCAACTTCCTGGCCACCTAAAGAGCCTTGAATCTGTTCCTGGGTCTCCCCTTTCCCCCTGGACCCCAGGC